AAAACCCCCCCTTGTTTTTTTTTTTTTTTTTTTTAAATGGGGGGGGGGGGGGGTACTAGAAAGGCAGAAGCAAAATATAGATAGATAAAATTCAAAATAAAAGGTTTATTGTCTTTTTGTCCTAATTATATACTCATATTTCTTTATTGGGAATGTTTTGTTTCGTCTTCTTACTAGTATACCTTTATTTAACTTGTCTAGTTATAATCAATTTTTTTCCACGTAATTTTAAAATGGTACAAATAAAAATAAGCGTAAAATAGGAAAAACAAAATTTAATTATTATTATTTTTTTTTATTTTTATTTTTTTTACAAAAATGGCTTTTTCAGTAACATTAAATAAGATTTCTTAATCCGTGGGAAAAATAAAATCAGTTTATATAAATAGGATGAATGTAGTATTTGTTTAGCGCATAAAACATTCGGGTAGAAGCAAGCAATTCAAATTCCTAGACAGCTAAAATTTATTTGATCCAGTACCCAAAGAATTTAATTAATTATAATTTCACTCGGAAAAATTAATTAAATTTTCTTCAAAAAGATATATGCAAGATTTGGACCCAAACGAAAGACACCGACGATGAGCGTGTATGGTTGACACCCACAAGCATCCAATTCTTCACCCATTCGACAAAATTGGGTGCCCTTTAGAGCCTAAACCCAATGGTTAAACTTGAGCATCATAAAACGTACTTTTTTCACGAGTTTTCTTATTTGGGACAAAGTTTACCAAATTCATTTAAAATTCTTTGCTTATTTAGGTTTCAAATGAGTGATTTTGAAACCACATATTTCATTCAATACTTAATGATTTTTCATAAGTAAATATATTATGTTATTCATGTAATTCATCTCGTGGATTAGATCATAAATATAATTTTGGATCGTGAGTCCGACTTAATTTTGAGCTTAAATACGCTAGAACTAAAAAACCATTTCCAACAAGTCTAGCTTATGTACTTGTAGACAAGTTGGTTGAAATAAGAAGCAATATTCCAATTGTCACTCTGCAATGCCAGGAAGACACATTTCACATCCTCCATGAACATGCTTTTCGGGAGGCGAATTTATCCATCCCTAGAAGGGCTTTTTTTTGGTAGTGTTCTTATTTTGAACTTGCTGTCTAATCGTTTTTCAATCTAAAAGATGCAATTCGAAGTTTTCTATGAATACTTCAAACTGGTAACAAGATGTTAGCTCGAAAATTAGCTGAAAAAATTAAGGCGAAATAGGAATTAAATGATAAAAAAATTGAATTATTAACTTCATTTCTAGCACCATCTTTGGCTTGTAATTTTAACCTCATCATTTAACGATTTTTCAATATGAAGTATGCTTTACGTAGTTTGTCATGAATAATTCGATATAGTATCAAGAATCTATCCTGACTAGTAAAGTATATAACTCCAAAGTAAGACAAAAAGAGGTGACGTTAGAATGAAAATTAAAAGATAACTAGTAAGATTATTAAATTCATTTCTAATGGCCATCTTTAGCTCATTCTTCAAACCCGTCATATGGCCCCCATAAAAAAATTCCTGGCTCCGCCCGTTGTATGTCAATCATATGTTCCACTCCAAAATGAAGCATATGGCGCTTGATTTCCATTCTGTGCACTAAAAGGTTGCCAACTCCCTTCTACTAGTTTCACTTTTTTCCTCGAAAGATCAATTGGCTGATGCACTAACAAAGCATCTCTCTACACGATAGTCTTCACTTCTGTCATTCATGGAAACTCCATCTTATGGAAATTGTGAAGGATAGTTCACTAAGTTGCTTCAAATCCTTTCATTCATATGACAAATACTCTTCGATAATTATTTTAATCTTCATGCTTAATTGTAGAAATTATGATACGTATATTTCACCCCTTGGAATATTTTGTATAACTAGAGACTACGGCAAGAAAATAGGAGAGTAACTTTACAGAGGAAAATAGTTTCTAAGAAAATTAATAAAAATGAGGGGGGGAAATGATAATGGAAATTGATTTACAATTATTATATTGATTCGGTCAGAAAGACCTATATAGTCTCCATAATACAAAATATATTTCCCTGCATAATTTAACCGGAATTAGCACTGTCTTGTGATGTGTCGACCACCGATTAATTAGTGTACTGAAAGTATAAACTGAATAATAAAAAATAAGAAAAAAAGTGTCCAACTCCAAGATTAGCCCTTGGTTAAAGGCTAAAGGTACCATATCATTTATTTCCTTAGTAGTGCTTACTGAGCTGTAGGGTTTTGAATTTTGTCTGTCAAAGTTTATGGCAAAATCCTCTCCATAATTTTAGCAGAATTTTCCATTAGTGGAGTGGTTGAGGATTCATGTTGCCATCTTTAGTTTCCTGAGTTTCCTCATATATGTCTTGTCTTTGCTCTATCACTTTTATGCGATCAAGTCAAGGATTCTTCTTCATTGTTCATTAATATTATTGGTGTTACGTTCTTAATGATTTACATCGTTAAACATGTGTAAGCGAAACTACATATCTGCTATTTGAATTTCACGTAGACTACAATCCATAAAATGCATTAGAGATGCTTCAACAATTTATATGGTCTCTGTAATATTCTCTAAATTTTGATAATAATTTGATGTTATAATTTTTTATGTTAATTTCTTTTATAATTATTCGTAATGTTGTAAATAAAGTCTTTACTTCTCTTAAAAGTTATAAATTGTATTGTTCATATGAAAATTAGACTCACTTATCTTTGATTTATATAGATATACCAATTGAGGAAAAAATAACATGGAAACGAAATAAAATCACAATCAATTTCATAAGTTCCACCTCCTAAAATAAGCTTATATATGTATCTTTAGTGTGATTCCAATAATAATTTCATCAAAACCACATAAAAGACAAATATCTCCTGCGTTCAAGAGCCTAATTAGGTTTTTCCTATATGTTTATCGAGACGAGAATCAATCAAGAACACGAAATTTGTGGAAAAAGAAATTGGTGAAGGCAGCTCATTCAATAACAGTTCATTTAATTTAGGGTTTCAAGGAGATGAAAATTTTAGTTTATAGAGAAAGAAGGCTATGAGACACATGGGAACAGCACCCAAGTTCGCTCTCTCTCTCTCCCCCCATAAATACACTAACCTCCATACCCTAAACCCTCTCTCTCATCTCTTTCTCTGGGTTTGCACAAGCACTGTTCGTCATAACTAAGAAACTACATATGATCATGGTATGTATTCTTCTCCTAGACATGATCTTGAATTCCAATTGTTCGATTTCCTTTACGTTGTTTTTTTTTTTTTTTTTTTTTTTTCCCGTATGATCTGAATTTACCTATGATATGTGGTGACGAAATTAGGGTTATCAGAAGCCAGCATGGTTGGAAGCTCTCTACGCGATGAAATTTTTCGTGCCATGCTCAATTCATGAGACATCGAAGAAAAATGAGAAAAATATTTGTTGTTTGGATTGTTGTATAAGTATTTGTCCCCATTGCGTTGTTTCTCATCGATCCCATAGACTTCTCCAAATTCGACGTTATGTATATCATGAAGTCGTTCGATCTGAAGACCTCGAGAAGCTCATAGACTGCTCAAATATTCAGGTCACTGCACCAAAATTCTACTATTAATTATTTCTTCTGAGCATGTTCAACTTAGCATAAATGCTGAAAACAGTCTTGATGCCAAGAAAAGCCAATTCTCCGCTTCTTTTTTTGGCTTTTAAGTTAAATCAAACATGCTCTTAGTGAAAGGCTAGTATAATTTAATTTGCTAGATATAAATGACTTGAATTAATTATAATTCGACGTCCCTGCAGGCCTACACAATCAATGCTGCAAAAGTTGTGTTCATCAAAAGGAGACCTCAAAACAGGCAGTTTAAGGGGTCTGGAAATTATTGCACATCATGTGATAGGAGCCTTCAAGAACCATTCTTCCATTGCTCTTTAGGCTGCAAGGTACTTAATAACCTTATGAATTCGGTTTTTATTCTTATTCACGATGAATTTAACGTCCAAATCATCAGTCCAATAACTAGATGTAACCTTTAGGTCGAGTAAGATGTCCATTTTGTTTGATGAATTCCCATACCTACTTTACCAAAATAATGCACAATTCTGATTGGAAGCCTCAGTTTCTTAACATTTAGTAGTGCTATTGATAAAGATATGAGAATTTTAAAATTCTAATAGTAACCCTTTTGATACAAAAAATTCTAGGTGTAAATTGTTGAAGGATGAAAAATGGATTTATTCAATTTTTTTCTGAAACTAAATCGAGTTAACATGTTGCATGCTGGATTCATTTTTCCATCAAATTGTAAAAACACTAAAAAAAATTCATAATTGGCTGAAGTTCAAGACTTTATTTTTCCATGTTGATGTCACAATGAACAATTTAATTGGATACCAGGTTGATTTTGTCCTTAAACACTACAAGGACATGTCTCCATTCCTTAGAGTATGCAAAACTCTACAGCTTAGTCCAGATTTCTTCATCCCTCAAGACATTGGAGATGATGAGACACAACATTCGACAATTGTGGACAAAGATGGGCCATCGGGCTCAACGTCAGGCTCATCGGGCTCCGATAATATGAGCTTTATTTGCACTGATTTTGTTCGAAAAAAGAGAAGTGGATTGTTTGTTTGTGGAAGATTATTAGCAAATAAGATTACAGAAGAGGAAAATATGGCCACTAGCATGAGTAACAGAAGAAAGGGTACTCCTCATAGATCACCTTTGTGTTAGAATAACAAAAACGAATAAATTTTTATTTTATTTTGAATTATTAACAAATTAATCGAGTTTATTGAGGCATTTTGTTGGATTAATTATTAATTAATCACTTGGTCGAGGAGTTTTTTCTTAATGGCATCACGTGTTTCCCAATTCCCAGGTTACAGTTTCGTACATTTTATTTTCTTTTAAGAACTAATATAGTTATTTATTATGGAATGAAGAGATTATTAGAAGGATTCACATAGTTTTTTTTATATTTAAATTGAAAAATTCAGAGCATCGTACGGATTAGGAAAATGTACAATATGTCAATTAATTGACAAATCCTATACCATGTCTCTTTTTATTTAAAATCATGTCCAATGCACGTACCTAATCGTTGAACCGCTTCATCGACGAAATTAATATGTTAGAGAGGTGATACGTACATTTATTATTTAAATTTAATTTTCAAGACAACCCCTTTCAACCTGACCGCTCTCATATTTATTGAAAGTATTGGCCAATTGTCCAATTTATTATTATTATTGATGTCACTCTTTAAAAATCTTTGACTCTGACCAGACAGCAAGTAGGAGAAAGTGTATATTATTGACTAGTCAAAAGCAAAATATCAGTAGTGGGTACGGTCCAAATCAGTTGGAGCCGTTGGATGGAGTGCTTGCTAGCAGATGTAATCTCCACAGGCTTGCAATCTAGTATCAAGTCTAATACGAAACGAAACTATATTATTATTACGAGTAAATTAGGCTTGCTGTATTTTATTGTATAATATATCATGCCCTTTGGGAAAATTTTTGTTGGGAATATGTTATCATGGCTAATGTTTGATACTGAACTCAACAGGACTTTGTCGAAGAACTTGAACACTAGTGCTGGACAGTATTGAGCAAAGAAATTGATAAAGTCGTGAAAGAAAGCATTAGGATAGAGAATGAATCATAGTTATTAAATTCAGACTAAACCAATCATTCCAATCAAAAAGTTTGGAGATTTGGTCAATCATCAATATATATGACCAATCGACAATCAAATTGCTCTTGACCTTCTCGAACAATGCAGATTTTTTAGAAAATCTAGGAACAAGATGGAATCAATTCGCTAGTTTTTTAAAAATGTTAAAAGTGAGATGCCTAGTTTCAAGGGCAAAGCTAGAAATTTATGTTGTAGGGGGGAATTTTTTTAAAAAAAATTGATGCACGAATAAAATTTATATGTAACAAAATGTTCATAATATTACATTACCTAGTAAATTTGTTCATTGCAAATTTATAGCATAAAATTCATCTACAGTAGAATCTACATCTAATGTCATAATAAATTCTCGCTCATTATAGAAATTAGAATGTTATATAATCACCAAGAAAATCATCATCTACTATGTTATGAATTACCATCATCACATGTTTCATATTCTTCCATTTTGAAAAATGCATTAAAAAAAAACATTTAAATATCCCTATAATCCAAAGACAAATGCATGAAGTAGTGGAGATATTATAAAGGAAAGAAATAAAATTCAAAGGTGTTGAAAAAACATAATCACTTAGCTATATATCAAAATTATAAAAGGGGCGTGCTCATGGTCTAGTTTAGAGAATGATATTTCTATGAATCCAAAATTATATGGAGAATGATATATATTATACTATTGTGGTCACTAAGAAAGTTAGAGACGTTTGAACTATTAGATATAATTTAATGCCTATATAATGTAGCTTCAATGATTGATAAATTGATTGGAAGTAATCTTCTTCAAATTGGGTTTTATTTGAATTTGTTTTTTGAGTTGCATGTTAGATCATTGAATGAATTCAAGAGTTATAAGATTATGAATATACAGTTATTAAAAATTAGGAGAAAAATGAAAACAATCTATTACATTCTTAATCTCAGACATTTGCTTTTCCTTCCTTACAACATAAAGGCTATTATCCAAAATACCCATGAAATAAATGAATTTTTTAGTTTGGGCCAAGAAATATAAATAAATGAAAAAAAAAATGGTTTTAATGATTGGGTTGGACTAGTGAAATTGGGTTGTTGAGTGTTAGTGGGCTATGTGCTAATTTTGTTCTTTTTTCAAATTTTTTATTTGTTTGTCAATTAATTATGAATATGCGCTTGGGCTGCCCAATATTGCCCCCCATATTCGCCTCTACCTAGTTTTGTACTACTAGGACTTCATGGCGAAAACAGTGGGCTTCATAGAATTATAAGATTTTTCGTAGGGAAAATTTCATAATTCAAGTATATTATTTACACTAATTTAAAAATCAGGTAGACAATTTGAAATTTCAAAATTCAGGTGTATATTTAACTAATTTAAAATATTTATTAAATAAAAATAATAAAGTCACAATTACACAATTAATGGTCATAAATTCATAATTATATGTGACAAACTTATTTATTGGTCACATATCATCAAATTAATTGATCACAGATTATTTCGAGATCACAAATTAAAAATTTTATAGATCACGAATTTTTTTGAGTCACAAATTATCAAATTTTAAGTTCACAGACCAAATTATTGAGGTCATGGATTATTTTTGTCACAATTTATCAAATTTTATGATCATGTGACCAAATCTTTGGTCACATATACCAAACACTTTACTCCCAATTCCAAATAATTGATCACAATCACTATTACACCCAACACTCACCACAACACCACCGCGACAACCGCCAACAACAAAAACAACCACCAAAACACAGTGACTGATTGCACCACACCGTACCACCATCACCGCCACATCTGATAGCAAAACCATTTTCTCAAACACTACAGCCAACACCATTGCCGCCACAAGCCTACCACTCCACAACCACAACCACAACCACAACCCCCAAAATTTTTTTCCCAAATTTGCCATCAAGCACTACTGTTGTTGCCGTCGCACAAACCACTACACTACCCAGACAACCACATCAACTCCCAAAACAAACTAACATTGTCACCTCCCGACACCACCATAACCACCTCCAGCAACCTACCA